TAATCAAAAATCTGCTGCAATGGGAAATGATGGTGCAATAAATCACATTGGATATTGTTATCAAGATGGAATAGGAGTTGAAAAGGATGAAAATAAGGCATTTATTCATTATCAAAAATCTGCTGAAATGGGATATGCGAGTGCAATATATCAAGTTGGATATTGTTATTACCTTGGAATAGGAGTTGAAAAGGATGAAAATAAGGCATTTATTCATTATCAAAAATCTGCTGAAATGGGAAATGCGAATGCAATAATACAGGTTGGAAATTATTATCGAAATGGAATTGGAGTTGCAAGAGACATACGACGTGCCAATGATTGGTATAAAAAGTAGTATTTTATTTATTATAAACCCTTTTTTTAATTGGTCTTTATTAATTTTTCATTAATTAAAATTCTAATAGAGAAAGAAGTATAAAGAGTATGTACATTTTTTTGATTACTGTATTCATTTTCTAGATAGAACTAATTTAATGAAAAAATTTTTAAGAAATAATTAAATTATCATATCCTCCTGGCCTTGATAATAATTTGACAAAAATATTGGACGATGAGAGATATCAATTATCATGGATTCCTTATAAAGAATTTAACGATATTACGCGGATAGGTAAAGGTGGATTTGCAACTGTATGCTTGGCTAGTTGGACTGATAAAGGACAAAATACTCTCATAGACGTTGCACTCAAAATAATTGATAATTCTGAAAAACATAATCAGGAATTTATAAACGAGGTAATAATCTTTGAAGGTTTATAAATTTAAAAAACATAAAACTAATTTTATTCTCAATAGTTGAAAAAGTTTTGTGAAATCGGATACAAAAATCCTTCATTCTTACCATGCTATGGAATATCGAGACATCCAGATGGAAGATATATAATTGTTCTGGAATATGCAGCTAGAGGTTCTTTACGTCAAAATCTTTCCTACGTGTCACAAATGGAATGGAAAAAAAAACTTAATTTACTTCACTGCATCGTCACCGATCTTGAAGCAATTCATTCTCAAGAAATGATTCATCGCGATTTGCATAGTGGAAATATTTTACAAGAAACCTCGGATAGCGCATACATCGCAGATTTAGGTCTTTCAATGTCATCAAATGATGAAAAGGAAGGTGAAAACATTTGTGGAATCTTACCTTATATCGATCCACAAGTTTTATCTGGTCAAAATTATTCTCAAGCCGCTGATATTTATTCATTTGGGATAATCATGTGGGAAGTCTTGTATGGGGTAACAGCTTCTTATATGGTTGGTAAATCAAAAAATGAAGCCAGTCTTCAATTGCAAATATGCTTCTTTGATTTACGGCCGCCTATTAATAAAGAAGCAACTTCGTGTTATGTGGATTTGATGAGAGAATGTTGGAGCAAGGATCCTAAAAATCGTCCATCTGCCGAAAAACTCTGTGAAATTTTTAAAAAGTGGCAATATGATGAAAACATCTTATTAGAATTAAACAAATCAAAAATAAAACTTGAAAACATCGAAAAATCTTACGCTGATATGTTTAGCAAAGGAAGTAAATTTTATCCTCGCATAAAATCAATTTTTGATAGTGGGTTGCAAGATCTTATAGAGTCCGGCAAAGATTTTCCCGCATTTGATAGTGAATTGCAAGATCTTATAGAGCCCGACAAAGGTTTTCCCGCATTTGATAGTGAAATGCAAGATCTTATAGAGCCCGGCGAAGGCTTTCCCGCATCTGTAATTTAATATGACAAGATTTATTATTTTAGGATTGTATATTAAAAATTCTAATAAAAATGTGAAAAATAAGTATTGTTTATATTGTGATAAAAAGTTTGATCTGATTGAATCAGATAGTTGTCGAGAAATTAAATGTTAAAGTTTAATATTTAAAAATTTTTTATACGTATATAAGCGTCGGGATTCCGAAAATAAAACTTCAAAATTTAATTTTTCAATAACTGATTTATTAAATTAAGTTGGATTTTCAATTCTTATAAACGCACCTATGGTGGTTTTGCACCTATTATATGTTTTATTATGTTTTTTAAAATTTTCTAAGTTTTTATAAGTTTTGTATATAAAATTTTTA